CCATATGGTAATCAATATTGCTATCACTGTACACCGAAACCATATGGTAATCAACACAGCTATCACTGTACACTAAAAACCATATGGTAATCGATATTGCTATCACTGTACACCGATATCATATGGTAATCAATATTGCTATCACTGTACACCGAAAACCAAATGATTATCAACACGGCTGTCACTGTACATGAAACCATATGGTAATCAATATTGCTATCACTGTACACCGATACCTTATGGTAATCAACACGGCTATCATTCTACACTGAAACCATATGGTAATCAACACGGCTATCACTGTACATGAAACTATATGGTAATCAACACAGCCATCACTGTACACTGAAAACCATATGGTAATCAATATTGGTATCACTGTATACCGAAACCATATGGTAATCAACACGGCTATCACTGTACACTAAAAACCATATGGTAATCAATATTGCTATCACTGTACACTGAAAACGATATATTAATCAACACGGCTATCACTGTACACCGAAAACGATATATTAATCAACACGGCTATCACTGTACACCGAAAACGATATATTAATCAACACGGCTATTAATGTACATTGAAACCACATGGTAATCAACACGGCTATCACTGTACACCGAAACCATATGGTAATCAACACGTCTATCATTGTGCACTTTTTCTTTGTCTGTTTCATATGGTATATATATCTATATATGTTTCTATAGATATGATTGGACATCTGTATGTTTCTTTCTGCTTCCCAAGCCTATATGTATGAGCTTAGCAACAGATTTTGATCTTTATTGTGTATATGAATGAATATGTTTATTTCCACTTTATTTTTTATGAACTAACAACCTGAATGTGATACGAAATTGGAAGAAACTGAACATTATATCAACGTGACATGTGATAGTTGTCAAACTTCAGGATTTTAGAAGTTGTTATAAGAATAAAGTGAAGACATCTTTTGATAATATATCGTATCCGAAACTTTATGTTTTAAATAAAATGAAAAGCATAAGTACAAAACGGTTTGAGTGTAAAGCTTACCAACTGTGTCAATAGTAGACTTTATTTATGTGTGTTTCCATACATATGTATGTGTACTTTTCTTTCTGTCCTGTATGTGTGTCTATAAAATTCACTAGTTTACTTCCATATTTGTTATCAATATATCAATCTCTATCAGGAATGATATTAATATTGATAGTTGTGCATGTTAATTACGGAAAGTGACATTTTATACTAACTTAACTTCACACCATTACGAATTTGATAAAATATTGACGGATCATGTAGTGATCCGGCATTACTTGACATATTACTATGCCACATGTAATATTGGACAGCACGGTTTAATTTCATATCTAGAACATAAAAACCAGCAACCGTATATTCTATATTGTTTTCGGTGAACGGTGATACCTATGTTAATTACCATATGGTTTTTAGTATACAGTGATAGCTGTGTTGATTACCATATAGTTTCAGTGTACAGTGATAGCTGTGTTGATTACCCTATGGTTTCATGTACAGTGATAGCAATATTGATTACCATATGGTATCGGTGTACAGTGATAGCAATATTGATTACCATATGGTTTTCAGTGAACAGTGATAGCTGTGTAGATTACCATATGGTTTCCATACAGATGGCCAATCATATCTATAGAAACATATATAGATATATACCATATGAAACAGACAAAGAAACATACAGATGTCCAATCGTATCTATAGGAACATATATAGATATATACCATATGAAACAGACAAAGAAACATACAGATAGCTAATCATATCTATAGAAACATATATAGATATGTACCATATGAAACATACAGATGTCCAATCATATCTATAGAAT